CCCCCACCCCCCCCCCCCAGCGTATTGCGGTTGCCGTCATCCCCCAGTGTTAGTGTTAGCATTAAACTGTGTTGTCTTGACTAGTAACCCCCCCTGCCTTGCCCCCCCCCCAGCGGATCGCGGTGGCCGTTGTCCCCCAGTGGCAGAAAGACGAGATGCGGGAGGGGCTGAACGCCCTCAAAAAGAAAATCATCGACCTTGAGAAGGCTGCCAAGGCCGACATCGTCAAGATGGTGGGTACATGCAGGAGTCATTCTATCCACCGAATTCACAATTACGATTATCTTAACTTTGTTACCAGATTCACAGATCAATATTACTGTATTTAAGCAAGCTTGCTTGCCCTTGTACTATCCCTAGGGTTTTTGAACATGCAGAATGTAGATAGTTCAGGAATATTCATGGACATTCCATGTGTTTTATTGTTCAATAATTCAAAAAGTTCAGGAAGTGGAAGCCATGCCCATGTTTTGTTGTTGTTGACCTGTTGTTTATTTGTTTACCAGGTTGTCGAGGCGACCAGACAGGAGGTAGAAGCCACGCCCGACCAGCCGCTGGTGATTAAGCAGCTGGAGGCCGGCGCCGACCTGAAGGCGCTGAACGAAGCTGTGAAGATCTACAAGGTCAAGTCCCCAAGGACAGCAGCCATGCTGTTCTCCGCGGACAGTACAGCCGGCAAGGTCGTCGTACAGTGCTGGGTCCCCAAGGTCAGTCTGGCTGTTTGGGCCCTTTTTGTACAGCTTCATCATTCCACCCCTTACAACAGTTTTCACCAACTTAGGGATGTTGTGTGGCTAACAAGATTCCTGTTGCAGATTCTCCACATTAGAAAGCTTTCAAATGTTTGTTTGTTTGTTTGTTTGTTTGTTTAGGAGACGGTTACGAAGGGCCTGAAGGCAGGAGAGTGGGTGAATCATGTGACATGTTTGTTGTTTGTTTGTTTGTTTAGGAGACGGTTACGAAGGGCCTGAAGGCAGGAGAGTGGGTGAACCATGTGACATGTTTGTTTGTTTGTTTGTTTGTTTGTTTAGGAGACGGTTACGAAGGGCCTGAAGGCAGGAGAGTGGGTGAACCATGTGAAAGACGTGCTCGGAGCTCGTGGAGGAGGGAAGGACAACACCGCGCAGGCCTCCGGAACCAACGTCGACGCGCTGTCACAGGCCGTTACCATGGCAACAGACTTCGCCAACCTCAAACTCAGCAACTAAGTTCCAAGTTGCTAAGTTTGTTCAGAAAGTTAAAAATCATCTAAAAAGTTTTTTTTCCATGCAATTTATATCTTAAGATATCCAGAAATAAGGAATCAGGGTGTATGAAGGAAAGACAATTTGAGAAAACTTGTCACAAAGACTTGAGACATCTGAGCTAAGCTATACTTGAGCTGATAAGGATGGTGTTGGATATTAGGAAGTGAAAAACTATTTGAAACTGAGAGTTGCTGAAAAAATGTCAAAATTACTGAACAGAAATAATTGTAAGAATTACTAGTAATTAGACCATCTTTAGGTTATCTGAATGCCATATAAGGTCAGCTCCTTATAAGGTTAGCTCCTTATATGGTCAGCTCCTTATAAGGTCAGCTCCTTACTAACCCACACACAGCAGAGGGGGGTGGGCTGTGGAGGGGGGGTTTAGGCAAGTCCATACCGGGATAGAGAAGAGTCAAGATTTATTTATTTCTATTTTACCGCAAATGTTAAACGTTAAGGCCCATGTTAGATAGTTTGTGTCAGGTTGTGTTTCCTGCATGAATTGGGACCTTTGCCACAGGACAACCCTTCCCTTATAAAAATAATAATAATTCCCTTCTACACTTCTCAACAGAAATGGAAAAAATTACCAGAAGTTTAGCATGCGATCTGCTGAGAAGGCAAAGTAATTGAAGGAAACGCTTTTATACTAATTTTGATGTTGATATAAATATAAGGCATGAATAACTCAAATATGGAGTATATGGAAGGTTTAGGATAATTCAATTCTGGGGTATGGAAGGTTTAGGATAACTCACATTTGGGGTATGGAAGGTTTAGGATAGCTCAAATTTAGGAATGGATAAAAGGTATGTAAGGTGTGAGGTTTATGGAGATGGTTGGTAGATTTATGTTGCTCTACAGTTTTCCATTCAACTGTGACTCCAAAAGAAGAAAGTTCACTTTGGATCCCTTAAAAGAACTAAGACCTTGTGGAAACGTCTTTGCTTATACATGTATATAGCTAATGTGTTTCACAGTTACGTAAACTGTGATGCCTGAAATATACAACTGAGAGTCCATAATGTCTAAACACTTAAGTTGGCAAACTCCATACATACTCCCCAAGCTGTTAACAGACTTTTAGCCTCTGTACAACACGCTAACTTACACAAGGGAAACAGTTTCTTTAACAACTGGATAGATTTTGAAAACTGTCAGATATTACATGTAGTATCCACTACTTAAAGTGTGACACAGTCACTGCAATGACGAAAAAGTAGTGGGTGCTACTTGAAACGTCTGACAGTTTTCAAAATGTATCCAGTTGCTTGAGTAACAGTTTTCCTGTGTATCAATGAAACCCACTAACTTGTGATGGCAACATGAGGCCGAGTATTGTGCGTTAATAGGTACAGAACTGAGGATGTTTGTTCAACACTTCAGAACCATCTGGGCAGGTCTTTATTGGGTACCATAATTGCCCAGTTGATGATTCCCACTGGGCACTGGGTTAGTAAAGCCTGGTCCAAGAGAGTATGTTGTGTGCTGTTGATGTCCTAGTTTTCCAATGGAAACTGCAGTTAGTACATTGTTATGATGCCCCACACACAAGCTTCTGTATCTGTATAGCCAGTATAACCGCCCTTCGGCGTAACACCAGCTTTGCTGGCAAGCAGTGTGGCGGCAGCTGGCTACATTACACCGAACGACTTGTTACACATAACACTTGAACATCTAACTCTAAACATTATTTAAAGCTATCTAATGACAATGCCCTACTGTGCTTGGTGACACCGAGTTCCTATCTGCGATAGTTCTAGGAAAGAATGAGTTTTTGAACTCCTCAATCCGTGGTTGGTAACTCTGGTACTTGAAGGCATGACAGTACAGTGTAGTGCATACAGCTCTTGGATAATGTGTTGCTTCCAACAGTGGGAGACTGGTGGTTTGTTTGTTGTCCCTGTTGTGGTTTCTCTAAGAGCCGGCAGTTTGTGTGTACAAAACAACTCAAACAGCAGGTAAACATCGCTTACGTCACTACGGGGGGGGGTGCGTTTTATGGAGGACCCAAATATGTTGCAACAGTGTCAAGGAAAAATCGGACAGGTAGGCTCCATAAAAATTAAAAAAACAAGAGAAACCCAAAAGAATTGAAAGGTCTGAATTTTAAATATATTAACAGGAAGACAGGTAATAATGGCATCGTGGATTATTAAACTTCCTAAACTTCACTTTTTCAAGATTACGATCTTGAGGGCGCTGGAATAGGCAAGGATGTTAATTAGATTATAGATGTATTTACAGCTTAGAGTAAGGAACCTGCGGCCTCTGGAGTTAAAAGCCGCGACCCTGGCATTTCATCCCAACCTTAACCCTTCCACTGACAAGCGGTGAGCACACCTTACCTGTCGCCAGGTGGGTTAAGTACTCTTACCTGTCGCCAGGTGTTGATGTTTGCTTACCTATAAAACCTAAAGCCTTGGGACTGGGACCTCCTACACACGCACACACACGCACACAGACACATACTGTATAATAGAGAACGTTTCGAAGCAGAATGTTTCTTCCTTTGTTAGTCTCTTCGCTCGTTTAATTAAGCTGAGGTTGATGTGGTGAAGCTACTTGTGAGAATAAAACAACTGAAACCTGACAGTTCCACGGAGCCGACCCAGAAACCGGCCTGTTGCCGGGTAACGACGAAGAGGCTCTTTATGAGGGCTGTAAAACTGCAAATGTCGTAAAACGTGTTGGTACTTGAGGCTAGTGAGGGGCACAAGTGGGCGACTCAGTCAACAGCCGTAACAGCGCGGCGCCCGGTGGTGTTGTGAGTGGTTTTTAATGGACTCCGGATAAGGAGGGTCGCCGGGAAATAACAGGAGCATTTTCTCCTGGACCCGGATTTGCTAGGACTGACTCAAGACTGAACAGAGATAAATACGGCTATCGCTGACATTTTGCAGTCTTAGAACAGGCTGCTTGTAGCGTCTGCTTTATTATTTATATACAAATATAGTTTATATGGACGTTAATTAACGCCTCTCGCCTCTTTGTACATTTCGCTTAGAGAGGCCTATAGCCCACATCTACATGTACACATCGTTACGTGTAACCTGCCATACATACAGGATCGGACGTTCTATAACCTTAGTGCATGCAGACTTCCTGAGGATCTTAAATGACCAATCACATGGTAACACGTGAACTAACGACACGTGACGTCAGTGGTCAGCCAAAAGTGACAGGAAGTCTATAACGTCCCCCGGTTCTGGCATCTGCGGTCTGATCCGATGAATGCCTTCCTTTCCTCTCCGCATTTCCTCACGTGAAACAGTTTTTACCGCGAACCACAACAAGTCGTCCGAGGAGGTTTTTTACCACTGATGGCTGTGGCCTGTTTGTATCAGGAAGTCTATACCGTCCCCCGTCCTGGGATGTTTGGTGTGGTCTGATGTAGGCCTTCTTTTCCTCTTCGCATTTCCTCACATGGAATAGTCCGAAAAGTGTACCGTGAACCGTCACAAGTCGTCCGCCCAGCCTGACAGGCAGACATTTCATGATCACCACCGATTGCCACCAAGCAATCGTGTCCTGTGTGTATCCCCGAGCACAGCTAGCCCTACCAGCACCTGCAGCAGCGGAACAGCCTCATGACCCTCTGCCTGAAGGATTTCTGCACGAAGGTGTATATGATCGGGTTCGCCGCGTTGTTCACGAAGTACAAGTCGTTGATGAGCGCCACGGCTTGGACCAGCGCAGTGGGTTTTCCCGCCAGATACCCGGGGTGCGCCACCTCGTACAGACTCAGCACCCAGAACGGGAGCCAGGACAGCACGAACACCAGCGTGACGAGCAGCAGCAGCTTCGCCACGCGGTAGTGACGGTGGGTCGCCGCCGAGGCCGAGGGCGGATGCTGGGGCGGTGGGTAGGCCGAGGGCACTGGGGAGGCCGAGGGCGGTGGGGAGGCCGAGGGAGCCTGCTGATGCTGCGATGCCTGAGAGAAAGATGCCGGAGTTGGTGGAGACTTGTACGTACAGGATGACGGAGGCTCTTCCTGCACCTGTTGTTGTGAGTTGCCGTGCCGGTTCTTCCGGCCGCCGCGCGAGGCATGGGCCCGGCCCCGCACGTCCCGCAGCGCGATGTCCGAGGTGCTGGTGGCGGGAGGGTCCTGCCTGCGGCCCCGAGCGCCCCGCCACGCACACCCGCTGCCCAGGCACGGGCCCACGGCCGACTGCCCCGGGATGCCCGCCGCCAGCTGCGACACTCGGTAGTACACCTGACGGGGACAAGACGGTATCCACAATAAAAATACATGCCGGTTAAATGCTAACTACGGTAGAAAAAGTGCGGATATACTGAGTAGAAAATTCTTCAAGTTATTAGACTAAATGTATCCTGATAATGACAGTCATGATCATACTCTACTGCGAAGGATTACCACCACCACCTCCTATTGGATGCTTAGAAGTTTAATGCATTAGCGTAAAATGAGAAGCCTTACCAAGGCGTATAGAACTGCCATTATCAGCACGGACAGGAAGAACAGCACTGCTGTCACGATGAACAGCACGGTGACATTGGTGCTGTCCGTGACGTAACACTGGCTGACCGAGGTGCATGCCGGTCCGACCCGTATCCCGCCCACCACCTGGTAATCCAACACCACCGGTATAGCAACGACCCCGCCTAGCAACAGGGTGCCGGCAATGGCGGCCAGAACTCGGCCCTTCCTGCACAGGGACAGACGGTCGGGTTACTTCACGGAGGTTTGAGTTCTTGGAACTCTAGTTTTTGTTCTTTTATAGTTTCGCAATCCTGTCTAGAAACATGCACCAACAATGCTTGTACGTAATGTCTGCTGTGGACGTTACTGTTTTATGGCCGTTTCTTTAATTTTATAATAAGTTTATCTTAATTCCAGTTCCTGCACCCATTCTGTGGCTGCTTGTCGTTAATTGAGAACAAACAGACTCCGCTTACATACCGGTGATAAGACCTGTTGGCTTTTCTACTTGAACTAAGCACGCAGTTACCATGAGCAGAAGGATAGTTAAATGGTTGATATGTCTGTAATCCCTGGAAAGAAATGCGTTTTGGTGAGAGGCAGGTTGTATCCAAACCATGCTTTATCCAGAACCTTGCCTGTGGCAAATCTACGTTCTTGGACACGCGGGGACTACTAGTATCCAGAACCGTGCCTGCCCCTAACCCATTCAGGTATAGAACTAGCTTCAGGATGCAATAGTCCTTATACCGAATTGCGCTGGTGAGACTTACCTTACACAGGTACTTTACCGGCCAGTAGAGGCTTACCTTACAGACAGGTACTGTACCGGCCAGTAGAGGCTTACCTTACGGACAGGTACTGCACCGGCCAGTAGACGGCGTAGAAGCGGTCTGCAGCGATGGCGATGAGCAGGAAGGTGGAGGAGAGCACGCTGGCCGTGATCAGGTACGGGTTGATCTGACGCAGGGCAGGGCAGAGGCGAGTTAAGGACTACCATTATGGTCTTCTATGAGCTATAAAATCCTTGTTACGTGTAACATCTCAGTTCAGATGCACTGTACATAAATCGCGTTTTTAAGACTGGCCAGTAGCAACGGCAGTGCCCGTGCGTGTGTGTCTGTCGACTGCCTCTCTGTGTTTGTGTGTGTGTGTGCGTGTGTGTGTGTGCGTGTGTGTGTGTCCGTGTGTGTCCGTGTGTGTGTGTGTGTGTGTCCGTACGTGTGTGTGTGTGACCGTACTTGCATATATCCGTACCTTGCACCAGGCGCTGCTGGTGTAGGTGATGTGGTAGTACGTGTGTGTGTGTGTCCGTGTGTGTGTAGTCCGTGTGTGTGTGTGTCCGTGTGTGTGTGTGTCCGTGTGTGTGTGTGCCCGTACGTGCATATATCCGTACCTTGCACCAGGCGCTGCTTGTGTAAGTGATGTGGTAGTACGTGTGTGTGCGTGTGTGTGTGACCGTACGTGCATATGTCCGTACCTTGCACCAGGCGCTGCTGGTGTAGGTGATGTGGTAGTACGTGTGTGTGTGTCCGTGTGTGTGTGTCCGTGTGTGTGTGTGTGTCCGTGTGTGTGTGTGTCCCCGTACGTGTGTGTGTGACCGTACGTGCATATATCCGTACCTTGCACCAGGCGCTGCTTGTGTAGGTAATGTGGTAGTACGTGTGAGTGTGAGTGTGTGTGTGTGTGTGTGTGTGTGTGTGTGTGTG